GAAAAAAAAAACAATTCCCGACGATATGATTGATAAACTGATACCATCTCCACCTAGTCCTACCGCACACTTTTCTCAAATTTTGCTATAAGTCAGAGAAGTAATTACTGATTCATATGTACCCGGAAACTGAAACCATTCAAGAATCGTTTGTTTCAAGAATATCAAAACGTAGCACATATTGCATAATGTTATATGAAACATTTCTGTAAGAAGTTTACAATAATTCTTCAGCTGTGATTCTTTTGGAAAAATTTAGAAAAATCTTATTTTAAAAAGAATATCCTCATATGACATCCTTATCTTGTTAATCAATTATCCGTGAAAAGTTTACGAACACTCTTAGCATGCCATGGTGTTCTATACAATCTTCCAAATGTTTTCCAGCCTAATCCTCATGTAACGAAGATTCGCTGAATGTTCACATCCTTTAAAAATCTCCCGCCTCATTAATGGGACCCTCCAGTTAATGAGATCCTCATTGATAGGATCCAAATGTCTCGATCTTCTAATTTATTGGAGGATCAGAATATTTCCTCCAAGGCTTTTTCCTGTTATTTCAAAAGATAAGTGTGTGCGTTAAGTGTTCAAAAAAAAGAATTTTTTACTATCTTGCTTTCTAAAATACGGCACTTTGCGGCTCTATTTTCTCGATATTAACTAATCAAATTAATTATGTTCTTTACATCATTGACTGCAAGGTACAAATATAAAGCAATTATTACTGCCACTCCATCACGTAAATTCACAATTTTCGAATCATTGAATGACGCAGTACACTTCCAACTCGCCAATTCAATCGTTCATGTTTGTGGTTTAACGTAGGATGTTCGCGTAGAACCAAAAACATTTTATGTGGAAGACCTGGTTCTTACTGATGTTCTTGATCACTGACTTGAGGCAAATCGATCACTGTTCATCTACAATTAACTGATATAGTAAACCATAAATGAGCAATATGAAAGTGTCAGGATCATGAGTGATACGTTTCTGAGGCATGAAAGGAATCATAAAAAATGCTACCGCCTACTATCTACATGACCATAAACTCCAAGTTAACCGATCACTTTCATCACTCTTTTTTGAACTAATCTGACGATCACTTGAAGCCTAAATCATCGACTGCTGGGGACGATTAGTATTGTGTGCACGTGCCACACACGAAAAGGATAATGGTAAATCGAGTTTGACATTAAGTTACAGTATATCACAGTAAAATTTTTAAATCAGTGATGGTACTTATTACCGGGCTGATGAAAAACCGCAAAGTGTATTATGACGAAGTGATAGATAAAATATAATGCCTTTGGCTGATGAAGGACTGAAACGACGAAATGTACTCACAATCATCAGCGAGGAAGGAAAAGCAAAAAGAAACTTCCTACGTTACTGTAACTAATGGCATTACGATGAAAAATTGGACTTTAGACAGCAACATAATAAGCTACTACTAACAAATAAATCCTTCAACTAGTCAGAAGAATTAGAAACCGTGAATTCTTTGATAAGGTAATAATGTCACTAACCAAAGAAATGATACCTAATGCCATTAATGTTACTTTTCTTGCATAACACGCAGCTGATATTCCTTACACCATCAAATGATATACGTCTCGTTGGAGATGTATCACTTTAGAAATTCGGTCAAAAAACGAAGTAGAAATACCTCGTACAGGATTCACATCGATTCCTTCGTCTACAAACTTACACCGCTCCTGAGAATACATTTTTTTGAGATCACGTATAACTGCTTTTTTCCTCTTATTCATTGCACCTCGTTCACGCTCCATCCGTTCCAACTGAGCATCATATGAATTTTCGCCGTTCAAATAGCGATCTACCGCGTGTTTTAACCTGTAGTACTTAGTTCAAATTAAAGTTCAAGGACTTCATACTTCCAGAAAACTATGATGTACTGACACTTGCACAGTGGCACAGTGTGATCATCCTGTGGATAATTTGGTATCCATCTCTACAAACACCCAAACCTTAAAAAACAGGAATTTCCCAGTTCACCAAGACTGTTCGTTGCCTGGAACAGCACTTTTTCTGCGCAACATATGGCATGTGTTCAATCAAAATACATCCCTCTTTATCCTTTCTTTTCAAAATCGATAAGCCTCACTGAAATCACCTCCTTGAAAACATAGAAAAAACCATGGAGAATGTAAAGTGCTCCGTCCTTCCATTCATCATGAAATCCGTTTCATTTGTTGAATGGACATTTCCTTTTCTTGAATTATATTCCGATCTTTACCTTTCCTGAGCAATTTCAATGTTTTCCTGCAGAAGTCGCGATTGATGAACTCGAACAACGATACCAGTAGGTACATGTTTGATTGTCACTGCATTTCTCGTCATGTTCACCTTTTGTCCACCTGGACCCCACCCGGAAATGATTTTCTGGAAAACATCATTATAAGAACGTATCTTTATCCGATATTCCAAAGACGTATGAATTTCCAAAGGAGTGATATCTCTTTATGTACATCCTGAAAGCTTTGAGGGATACCATATCCCGCAATAACTATGCAAACATTACATGAACAACACGTACAAAGAACGGTGGATCACACTTGCCTGAACACAATCTTCAGATCGAATTACGGGAAAAGTATAATTCTTTAATCTTTGTTTTGCAGAGCTGAATCGCACTGAAGTTGTACGCAACCTAACTGAACATCGTAGAAACATTGCCTGAATTGGAAAATCCTTTAAATAAAAACAAAAACAGAACTGGTATGGAATGTTGTTAAAAAAATCTCCTCAGAGGGCACCCCATCACTTATTTAACTTAAACACCAAAATTTCCAAGGTTTTTTTAATGCCAAAGATTTTTCCATCCTAAAACTCCCCAAATGAACATTTCGTCACATTTTCTTCTGCAAAAGAATCTCTCGATGTACTCTTTAGATGGATGGTAGGTTTACCGCTACATACCGCAGCAAAGGTTAATAATATTATGTAACCAACATTGCTAAATTATAACAAATGCGTAATTATTAGATTTCCTATAAGACTCTTACAGCATATAACCACCAAAACTATCTGAATTCGCAATCTACTATGACTGTTTAATTATTTAGAACGGCATTATGATGGTACAATCAACTAGGATTTCCCAATCACTTGGCAGATCATCACCACTTCCAGAACCCTCTAGGATTATGAGGACATTCAGATTAATTGCCACGTCTGATAGTGGTAAAAAAATCCAAAAAGATACGAATAGTTACAGAGCAGTGTCCTAGAATTAGTGATAATGCCAACCGATAAGCCACCCCGTTTAATGGCAAGAAATACTAGTATAAAGAAATTGAATTATATGCATACTCTAAATGGATGATAGTTTTTGAACTGAATGACAATATAACTGATAAATTATTCTCATACAATCCTTCGTGCGGTATTAAAAAGTTTTTCATACAATATGCATATAAATCCAAACCAAGCGGTAGTATAAATCAAAGAATCATCAATAAAAAAGATTATGTAGAAATTAAGAAACTTTATGTATTTTTGACCATGCAAAACAATGCTTCAAAATTTGAATTCCGGGCATGTATGAAAAATTAGGACAAACAAAACAAAGCTTTCTGAAAACTGATATATTTTCAGTTAACTGCAAGAAAAAAGTAGTGGCGACTTCAAAACAGATTGCATTCGCTATCTAGACCATATCTATTTTTTTTTTGCCCAGAAATGCTTTAGCATTTTTTTAAATCCATAAAGGATTAGTTTAAGTTGATTATAATAATACATGGCTGAGGTAAAGGAAACAGCAATAACAATATGAAAACAACGCACAACATCCGTCAATGCAGTGAACGAAGACACAGAGATCGTAAAATTAACATATTGTAAAGATTCCAAAAAGATGAAGTGGAACAAGTAGCATTCCTAAATTTTCCAGACATAATCTGTTTTTCGAAGGTACATCTTCCATAATATGTAATGGTTCCAATTGTATCAAAAAATGTTCACATCCACGAAGCGGACAGCTATGTCCGGGAAGAACAGCATCACTATTTCGACTGGAACAAGCACCAATAACTAAGATAAGAATAAACTGGCTTTAGAAAACGAGTTTCAAAATATCCTGAAAATACGCTCACTGGAAAAAAATTAGAAAAAGATGCGAAATGCTAAAATAAAAGTTTAAACAAAACACATTCTCATGCACAGTTTCTATGACAGTCTAAATGAATGATTCCATTTATTTAGCACGAAAATATGTTAATTTTAAAAGCATTTTATTCTGTAGATTTCAATGAACAAACCTCAACAGCACAACCATGGTCAGGAAACGAAGTTACCATCAGCAGCTACCCACGACCCATTATTTATAGTTCTCACTGTTGCTTCATTATTAACAACGTTTCGTTTATGCTCTTTAACAATATCAAGTTCAGCTCGATCCCTAATCTCTTCCAAACTATAATCAACAAGCAGCCTTCCGTTTTCAAACACTGTTACCAATATGTCCTGCAAAAATATGTAAATGAACAAAATAACAATTTGAATTTTATTAATTCGCTGAAAAGTATAGGAAGAAATTAGAAAACATGAAGAATGGAAGGGACTGCAGCTTACACTTGGTAGAGATCAACCTTTTTTCTCGAGTAAACGGAGTATCGACCCAAATCCTACCAACTTGATCCGATCTTTTGGAATTAAAAATTCAGCTTCACTGTCTAAAAAACTTAAAAAAGAAAATCCTCTTGTAAGAAATAAGGAAGGGACTTCGACCACTGGTGAGTTGCCTTCAGCATGAATTTATCGGAAGATGGATTCACGGCGAAAGAAAAAACAAATGATATTAACAAAAAAAAGTCTATACTTTGGTAGCATCCCCTTGTCCTTTTTCGACTGTAATAAGACTACCATCCTCTCTCCTTTCTAGAGTTAATCTTCCTTGTTTTGACTGCTTTCCAGCATCTGTCGTAGGACTCTTCCAAACGTCTCGCTGAACAAAAAGAAAAAGAAGGAAAAATTAATTGGGTAATCGCAGCGATAATGAAAAAGCTGATATTTGTTAAACAAAACAAAAAATCTCAAAACACTTCTACGAGGGAGAAAATAATGAATTGAACAAGCAACTTACACTTTCACCCTTGATAACAACATGCGAGCATTTGAACGCGCATTTCTGAGTGTCACGATCTAACTTTTGTAATAAAGCTCCTCCTGTACCAAAAACGATATTATCTGCACTCCACTTATTACGAGTCACAGCATCTAGGATCTAAATGAAAGTAATGCAAAACCTAAGAGGAAATGTAAGATCTACTAACGATTCATAGCCTAAATTCACTAAAACTTGATGAAGATTGGGAAATGCATAAACTTTTCAGAAGTAAAGGGAAGACAAAGTTAAAACCTAAAACTTAACCCTATATGTGTGCCTTATGGAAAATACAAAAATAAAAAAAAGTAAATCCAAGTTTAACTCACTTTCCCAATAGATTCATAACATATACCATCACCCTGCATAACTCTCAAATAAGATGGTAAAAGTCGATAGCCTTTCGAATTAGTTACAATGGGAAACTTTTCTGCCAATAAATTCAAAACCTAAAGCAGTGTCAGGTTATCTAAAAGTCAACGCAGTTATCAACAAAATGGACAAGTAGATGTCGCAAAATTGTAACATTTCAAATCATGACCATATATATAACGAAATATTAAGTCATGGTTGTGCGAAACAGTAAGTGCTCATACCATGTAACAGCACTAAAGAAGGAAGATTACAACAGTAGCCGACAGTCGGAATTTCTAAATACCTATTCATAAATATCCAATGGGAAAATGATTTACAGAGATAATGTGATTTTTTGTGAAGTGAAAATTTTTAAAACTTATCTTCACAACTACTTGGCTGGGATCACCACTATCAGGCCTGATGACAACGCATCCTTTATTGGCTCGATCGATCACATACTGGCGTAATTCATCACCCCAAATATTGGAAACAGCGTGAAAGACATCATAAGAATCACTAACTACGGAAACGGAACCATCTGGGAACTGTTCCAACATGTTCAAATATGCTGCCGATTCACCTGATTTCTTCCACGTAGTAATTGTACTAAAAGTCAACATATAATAAAATCATACGTCGAATATTCTTCCAACATTTCAAAAAAACTTGAGAAGCATAGGAATCACGCAAAAATATGACAAGCAGATTACAAATGCAATAAATGAGTCTCCCAGAATTTTCGAAAAAGAAAATACTGGCCTGTGTTCTGCAGCGGGAATGGAAAAGCCAGCCATTTCTGCTCCATAATATCTGTAAATCAGAAATTCCCAAACAAATTTCGGTTCGCGATGAAGCTAGATTTAAAAATTCCCAGTGAACCATAGAAATATGTAAGTAAAAAATAAAGATAAACATATAACTCACTTTCTACATAACTGCAAGCCAGCTATGGTATCTGTACCATAGAAATTCACCAGATGTGCAGCTCCACCAATCGATGCACTCTGAAATTCGGATGGTAAATAACTAATACAATCTTCTTACCAATATTAAAATAACTAATACAATCTTTTTATCATTATTAAAGTACCAGTACTACCAAATGATCTGTTCAGGTGTTCTGTGCAGCGTTAAACATTTATAATTCAGTTTGACGTGGCAAGACCTAAATCTTCTGAGAGAAAGAGAGAGAGAGAGAGAGAGACTTGCAACGTCAATTCTCAAATCATCCTATTTGATTCACCTGCTCATTTGTCAAATCATCCCAACTGATTTATTTGCTCACTATCAGATTAAGATGCACGCAATGTCCGAGTGGTCAGAACTGTATAAGCAATCAGTACTATTTCAAATCAAATAACAGGGAAGGGATTCATCAAACACCTCAACAGAAGATGCGCCACGATATCCGAAATCATGGAGCTTATAATGAATTCCATCTATAGAATCGGCCGTTTCATGCAAATACTGTGCAATGATGAGCTTTTGGGCCCTTGAATTCGTACAAACTGTCATCGGATACCACACTTGAACCAGCAATGTCTAGAATGAAGTTTGTAGAAACTCCAATAACAAACCTGCATAATAAATTCGTTGCAAATCCTTTTTTATAAACAAAATACATGTACACGTGTACATATGTATATGTATGTATATATATGTACACATACACATATATATGCATATGTATATACATGTAAATATGTACATATATATATATATACATATATATGTATATATATATATATATATATATATGTACATACATATATATGTATGTACATACATATGTATATGTATATATAGACAAAGTTTCTATGTCTATAACGTAAACAAAATTTTATGAGCAAAATTTATAAAACTTGCAAAACTTAGCAAAAAAGCATCACCTCAAACCAGTTTGTTAGCCATGGCACACAAGGATCGGTATTTTCAACAGTGAAAAGCACATTTTTAACGGGTACCACCGTACCCTCCGGTACTGCTTTGATCTTTAACGGGAGATGGCCTTTATGAACCTGTGCAAACAACAAGATAATGTACAAGGCTGCTAATACTAAAAAAATTTGTGACAGAATTACAAAGAAATATAAACCTACTTCAGCAATATGATTCCAGCCTTCCTCATTGAAAATATCAAGTCCACCAAAGTGCGATTTATAAAATTGCTTCGCTTGTTCAATCATTGCCTTCGTAACCACTGGACCAACAAGCCACCGTTTTATAATATACTACAAAGGTAAATGTGAAAACTATCAAAAATCCATCATAAAGTCATGTGTAAATTCAATTGGTCGGAGTTAATGAAATTCTAAATTATAAACAAACACGTAAAAAAAAACCAACACGTAGTGGAGATAAAAGAAAAAGCAGAAAAAAAAATCTCAGAAAACTAATAAGAGAAGTTACCTGAAGGCCAAAGAAGCAGACTTCCGAAAACTTGCCACCACGACTTTCAAAATAACTGTAAACATGTGTGGTACCTTCTGGATACTGATTATGATGTGTCACCTTAACATTTTTTCATTTTTATTCAAAAGATATCATCTATCATTACTTAGTCCACCAATAAAGTTTCAAAATTCAGTAAAAAACTTGTAGTATAGGAAAAAAGACCACGTGAAGCATGATCCTTGTTGAACTCGAGAATCTTACACAGAATCTGACCTGAACATTTCAATACACTGTGATATACAGTAATATCAAATAGGAGTACAACTTGTTAAGTGATTTCCCAAGCAAGCTAAGAAATGAAACTATGTTTTGATCAGATCAGATGGAATGACACAACTATGAAACCGATATAGTTAGTATCATGGCATGCTTCCATACTGTCATCGGAAAATTGAATGATCCGGGCGGACCTGATATTGCTCATGATGCCTTCCAGGATAAATATACCTTATATGAATCTGCAACATAGAGGACGTTCTCGACTGATTCCATTTTGATGCAGTCAAATAACTGTCCCTGAAACTTTGATATACCTCAATTTCAACATAGTACATCACTCACGAGAAATAACAACCGAAGCATACCCGGAACCAGCAGTCACCAGACCTTCCGGACCTGCAAATACCGAAACCAATGCAATCCCGGTTATTATCACGGCCTAAATTACACAATCGTTAAATCCCTTTTGAAGCTTTATCGCCAGACTCGTTTTGCTGCTTATTTGAGCAGGTTTTAATAGAGTTGACAGATCTAAGAACTGGATCGAACACCCTAACCTGAAATCCTGTTCATCAAAATCATTTGCCAAATAGCAAAAAAATCTCCCAACTGGGAGATACTGGGAGATTTTTTTTGCTATTTCCCAACTGGGAAATCTCATCGCAGAAACGGTAGGAATAACGGAATCAAGGAAAGGAAGATTTAGTTTGTGCATTAATTACGCTGGTTATAGTACCCGGTTCGCACTAATACCAGATACCATGAGAAAGTTGCAACGTTCCTATTTCAATGAGTCATCAAATCACATTGATAAGTGCTTCTTTTCAACAATTTAGAGGACGAATTAATTACATAACAGTTATCAAAATGATTGTCAAATAATCAACTCATCTATTCAAAAATTTCAGTTTAATAAAATTTACAAGGGAACTATTTGCACATTTCTTTGTTTTGCAATTCACTTTTACACCAAAGTAACTAAGTACACTTTGATCTGAACACCTACCTTTAGGATTCTGAGCACTCGTTCTCAAATTCCCAAAGATCTAGAACTATTGAAACCGACAAAATCTGTGATGATATGATTTATAACCTTACAGTACCAACAAGCAAACCAATAAACATTGTGTTTTAATGCTTACATCATAAAGTTTTGCTACAAATGGAACTTTTCTTTAATAAAAATCTCCTCTATATCCCTTCAGTAATGCAAACCATTTTGTATAACAGTAACGGAAAAAATATTTTGCAAGGAAGGAAAAAATAGTTTTGCAGGTAAGGAAAAAAACCATCAATCATGCTTTTTTTAAAACTGTAATTCAAACAGTTAAAGTTATTTAAGTAAACAAACAAATTATAATTCGAGAAGCAAAGTTGATAGGAAGTTGACAAGATAGCAAAAAAAAAGCAAGTATCCCTCAACAACAACAGATAACTTTTATAAATGAAGAAGGAATGCCCTCCATATAGCCTAACGTAACAAAACAACCTATTCATATTTTCGGAATACTTTCTTCGAAAAATTTCAACAAATATAAAAGATGAAAATGATTCCAAAAATGATACATCAAATGACATTTTGATAGATGTGTGTGATGATAACGATGAAGGACGATGAGTAGGAATGATGAAACTTCCACGACATGTACTGCACTCCCGAACTCCTCGTCAACCCGTAATGGGATGAGCATTCAGTGAGTTGGAAAGATGAGAATGTGTTGTTTGCAATGCTGTAAAGTTATAAGAGCAACATATGTGTCCTAGCCAAAATATCACAACACGTTTAACTAGTTTGTGTGAGCATCCTATCGATAAAACACATCAAGTACCACTTTACGGTGAAAAAGAAACACGATAATAACATTACATTGATCAATTCTGATGATATGAACACATCATGGTCGAGTTTTTTTTTCTGTTAACGTAAAAAATTATTTGCGAATTGGATATGAAAATCCGAAAGAACACGAGATTATCACCGCATACAGGTTATGTTATTAGTAGATTGTTTGCCATATCATAATTAAGGATACAAATTTGAAAGTTAATTGTAGGATATGCATGAGGAAGATGAAAGAGCTAGAGAAATAAAGCATCAGTCAAAGACTTCAAGAATTATGAACGGAGTTTTTTAACAATAACAGAAATATTGGCAACATGTTGAGATGTTACTCTGTTCAAAAAATAAAAAAAAAATGAAATATACACAGGAAAAAAAAATGCACATCAATAGAACTATGACTAAAAAAACATGAAAAATACGACATACTAACTATTATACTTCAACGATGCAACCAACCATTTTATTTATAATCATACCTTCAAATCAGTGAGAAAAATCGGTGCGCAAAGCAAATGAAAGTATATGTTGAAGGAATTTTACTTGTAAGTATCTAAAAAAAGCCAAATCAATCGTTCAATATAAATTATAAAGTATGAAATACCAGAAAGTGTAAATATTTAAGATTAGATTATCTTTCATTAGCAAAATCTATTCCACGATAGGACAGCATTGAATGTGTACAACACAGACTTCCGGGACGAATCTGTGGATTGTCAACCATTTTTAGCAAATCACTGAGAAAAGAAATCCGAGTTTTTGTAGAATATCGTTTCAGGAGCTGACAGCAAACCCTTTGCCGTTGACATATCATTATTTATAGCGGTTTTTAGTTCATCTAAAAGTTTTTTGACTCAATATCTTCCACTGTTCGTTTTGACTACAGGTTATGTAATGTTTGCAGAAGGAAAAAATCGGTAGCATGCTGCCTGGAAAACTAGCAGAAAAAAGAGAAAAGGACAAGAATAAACAAAAAAAAAAAAGAACCCAAAGAATTGAATGCAACCATAGGGCGCATAAACCCAACCAAAACAGCACGGACTTCGGCACCATAAAAATCTTCGTCGAAATCATGAAGTATATGAACTTCCTGAAAAAGCATAAAATGATTAGTGCCATCTCTTCGGATAACTCGACATTTCAAATGACCTTATTCAAAATATTTGACAGTCGAAACTGCAATAATCATTTAATTGCTGACAAAGGAAAATTAGTAGAAATATGTCCGTTGCACACAACATACAATTGTTTTTCGTTCATTTTTGAAGTGTGGATTCCATCCGATGCTTGTTACCATCCCATATACTTCACCATGATTGACATTTGCGAAACCGTAAAAGACGCCGCACGGGAAATGTGGAGGTAGACGTGCAATGGCAGTATCATCCAAATTTGCTGCAGACATCTAACTCTAATTCACCGCCCAAATGATATAACAAATTCCAATAAATGATAACAATAAAATCTTTTTTTAATGTCAGTAATACAGTACTATTTCGATCAATTCAAACACTCGATATTAGAACAGTCGAAATAAAATCGAAATAAATAATTTAATTTTTCATATTAAAGCCCATTATTTTGGAAAGAGATAAAAGGATTGTGTATGCACTATGTATGTATGTAGTGCGAATGCATATATACGTGTGTGTCGTCTGTATATATATACGTACATATATATATATATATATGTATATAT